TATATATATATATTCTTTACAGAAAAAGTGGAATTCTGCAGTTTCCAGATTGTGTGCCTGCTGTCTCACCTTGGTAGTTGTCCTTGGCTGTCCAGGTCCTGCCTTCATGAGGTGGCTTCCAGGCTTTGCCCCCATGGACTCCTAAACTTGCTCTCTTTCTAGCTTGCAGTAAGATACAGTAAACAGATTCAGGAGTTTGGTAGCCAGAGAAACGAATGGTTAAGTTTCATTTCTACTAAATTTGTCTGTCAACAAAAGTTGTCATTATGAATTGGTACCTGTCCTTGTGTGTTCATCCATCCTTGGGTGAGAAATGTTAACATCCTTGGTATCTCTTGTAGTTACTTTAGGTTGTTACCATGCATTATGAAACCCTCAATGTATTTAGTACAAGGTCTACAGGGTTTCACTACACAGATCCTCCTATTTTCAGCCTCCCAAGCACTGGTTTTATAGGCAGGCGCCGACACACTCAGCCTCAGTCACTATCTCAGTAAGCCTTAGGGGCGGGGCTGGCACAGCATGCTGGGGAGCAAACACTGGTCCCTGCATTTACCTAAGCAGGCACTTCAGTCCGCTAAGCTATGAAACTCATCCCTTCCCCCCTTCCCCCCAACCCCCGTTTTTAGGACAGGATCTCCAGGGTCTCTACATAGGTTGGACTCAGTAGTAATTCTCCCGTTTTCAGCCTCCCAAGTGCTGGGATTACAGGCACGTGCCACCACACCCAGTCTCAGTCTCCATCTCAGTGTGCCCTGGGGGCGGGGCCAGCACCACACATGGGGGATTGAACCATACCACTGTGCTCTGCCTAAGGAGGCACTTTAGTCCACTAAGCTATCAGGCCGGCCCAAACTCAACTTTTTGTATACTCACTTCATTCTCAATATTTGCTTTGCTACACCTGGATCTTTATTTCTTGCTAGTTTACGCTTCTTATTTATATCACTTTTAAAGGCTGAAATTAGAAAAGATGCAGTTGGGTTGAAAGAATTCATGTCCGTTCCAGTCTTAACAGTGTCATTTCATCCTTAGTTATTGATTTCATAAGGATTCTCAGGGATTCCCTCTAGCAAGTGATGAGCAAGCAATTCATCTTACCTAGGTTTTTTTTTTTTTTCTTCCCCCTTATATGAAACCTTTAAATGAAAATATTTCTGAACTTCTGATTCAAAGGGCATACTCTAATGTCTGACCTACAAGAACACCAAAATTGTTCATTCTTTTTTCTAGTACATGGATAATATATTTCTAAGATACTGCAGATTTCACTGCAGATTACCACAATAAAGCGAATAACACAATAAAGTTGTTTCCTAGTATACATAAAAATTTTTTGTCACTATTCTTCAGTAGCCTAATGTGTACTTAGTAGCGTCATATATATAAAACAGTACAAATACTTTTAAAAAATTTAATTGATACAAAATGCTGTGTGACCTTTCACCAAGTTCTAGTCTTTCTGCTGGTGAAGAATCTTGCCATGAACAGATGGTTTCCATGTGGTAAAGGTTGTGGTGGCTGTGGCATTTTCTTTAAAAAATGACAATAGTGAATTTTGCTGCATTGATTAACTGTATTTTACAAGAGTTCTCTGTTGCACAAAAAATTATTTGATAGCATCATACCCCAAGAGAACTTTCTAAAGTGAAACCAGTCCTCTTTCAAAACGTACCTTTACTTATCAAATGGGTTTATACAATATTCTAAATGTTTTATCATAATCATAATCACAGCAGTATTCCTAGGGTCTTTGCTTTAAAAAAAAAAAAAGCAACATCTAGCTGAGTATGGTGTTACACAACTATAAACCTAACATTGAGGAGGGATCAAGCAGGAGTAGGATTAAACATTTGAGGCTAACCTGGAAAACTTAGTGATTTAGTGAGTCCCTGTCCCCGAACTTTATGAGATTGTAGCAGTTCAGTGACGTCTTCAGGTTGCATTTTAATTATTCCTTTTGCTATTTCTGCATTTGTTTTCCTTCAGTGAACTAAATTATTCAAAGTCATCTATGGGAAGGGGAATCACTTCTTTCCAAACTCCTGTTAATATTGATATTTGACCTCTTCCCATGAATCAGATTTTCCTAATTGCATTATTGATGGTTAATCCTTTCCAGAACATATATTAAGACTTGACCAGGTCTGGTGGCACATGCTAATTGGGAAGCTGATTCAGGAGTTTTGCAAATAAGACACTGTCTCATGATAAAAAGTGCTGGTGATGTAGCTCAGCATTCCCCAGTTTCTTTATTTTATTTTATTTATTTTTTCCCCCAGTTTCATTGCCTAGTACCTCCAAAGAAATTTGAAATTACTGTTTGATCCATGGATGACAGAATGGATTTTGTGTTAGCAGTGTTGAAAACACAATTGATTAATCTCATTTCTTTTAGAGACCTTACTGATAAGTAATATTTTGTTTTTTATTTTTTTAATTTTTTATGAGCAGAATATGTTTATTGAGAGAAAGAAAGCTCCTGTCCCGAGAGAGGGACGGGGGTGTGTGGGTGGGGGCTGAGCAGGTAGTCTCCCCCCGAAGTTGTCTCTTTCAGGGACTTTTATAGAGGAAAACCATGTGGTGAGGCAGGTCTAAGGTGGTGGAGAAGACATGGGAACTTGCTTAGTTGGGCATGAGGTGGGACCAAACAGTGGTCAACCAATGAGATTACAAGCACCATTGCTCAGGTAAAATTGATTAAGTCCAGTATCAAATGGGAAAGTGGGCAGCCTAGTTCTGCGCACGGTCTCCCTAGCCCTCCGGTGCGGACGCCTCTGTGAGGATGGCGCCCCAGGTTATCAAATGCAAGGCTGCAGTTGCTTGGGAACCTGGAAAGCCTCTTTCCATAGAGGAGATTGAGGTAGCACCCCCAAAGGCTCATGAAGTTCGAATTAAGATTATTGCCACTGCAGTTTGCCATACTGATGCATATACCCTGAGTGGAGCTGATCCAGAGGGGTGTTTTCCAGTGATCTTGGGACATGAAGGTGCTGGGATTGTAGAAAGTGTTGGTGAAGGAGTTACTAAATTTAAGGCAGGTGATAATGTCATCCCACTTTACATACCACAATGTGGAGAATGCAAATTTTGTCTGAATCCAAAAACAAACCTTTGCCAGAAGATAAGAGTGACTCAGGGGAAAGGACTGATGCCAGATGGTAGTAGCAGATTTACTTGCAAAGGAAAGACCATTTTACATTATATGGGAACCAGCACATTTTCTGAGTACACAGTTGTAGCAGATATCTCTGTGGCTAAAATAGATCCTATGGCACCTTTGGATAAAGTCTGCCTTCTTGGTTGTGGTATTTCAACTGGTTATGGAGCTGTTGTAAATACTGCTAAGGTAAGAGGTAGCTTTTGCCTCCTAATTCAACTCACCAAAGTTTTGCTGAGGTTGTGACACTGGCCTGCTATGTAAAAACCTAGTGATTTCATACACTCTTGTAGAATGAGTATCTGATATACTGTCTTTACTGTTAGGTGGAGCCTGGCTCTACTTGTGCTGTCTTTGGCCTGGGAGGAGTTGGATTGGCAGTTATCATGGGCTGTAAAGTAGCTGGTGCATCCCGAATCATTGGTGTGGACATCAATAAAGATAAATATGCAAGGGCCAAAGCATTTGGAGCCTCTGAATGTATTAATCCCCAGGACTTCAGTAAACCCATCCAAGAGGTACTCATTGAGATGACTGATGGAGGAGTGGATTATTCCTTTGAGTGTATTGGAAATGTGAAGGTCATG